CAAACGTTAAATTTAGTGAACTTTACCTACATTTTGACACTAATTTCTCAAACAACGATAAAAGTAATCAAATTACGATTTGCCATTCGGAATTAGTTTTTTCCAAGGAACACGATGAAAAAAACCGAAGCACAAATATTGAAAGACGACTGAGAAAAGTGGTGAAATGGTGAAAACTCAAGATTTCACTAGTTCTTGACCATATAAGTTGGTTACCATGTTGGAAAACAGGCAAAAGCTGGAGATAACGAGATAACGACAAAAATACAGATTTTGATTACCCAAGTTTATTTGTTACCCAAGTAACACGTATAATCTAGCGTTCTTATTAATTAATGACTTAAATGCATATACGACCTGAAAGCCCGTGTCTAAAGGAGCACGTGGGTTATCGCAAACAATTTCAGAAGGTTATATCTTGGATTATGACTATTTTCTGACAATAAAGACAAGTTAATCTTTTAGATCAATTCATTATCTCAAAGAAAATTATGCACAGTTATAATAAATTCAAACAAACTCGGAGATATTTAACTAGCAATTAACTCATCAACACACTTTTTCAAAGATGTTCACCCCATTTTCACCAAAAATGCAATCATTATTTTGATGTATCAAATAGTTCTTGAAAGGAAAACTTAATTGCATTGAGATAAGTGTTCCCCATGTTATTTCTCCATCGAAAAATCTCATGCTATCCATTGGTTTCAGTTCATTTTGGTCATCCAAATTGAATATCTTTAAAGTCCCTGGAGCAATCAAATTTTCCTTTTAGGAAATCGAACATGTCTCAAAGCACATTCTAATTATGCATTCAACAATATAATAATAGGTTGCATTTTTGGTGAAAATTAGGTCAACATGTATGTTGATTGGTCCATTGCCCCTTCAATATCACTAAGGTCTGATTAACTAAATTATCATTATATATACTTTTCTTGAAGATAATGAATGGATCTAAAAGATACATCCATGTTCATGATCAGAAAATATTCATAATTCAAGTTAGAATCGTTTGAAATTGTTTGCGATAACCTACGTGCTCCTGTATAAAATAATGTTTACTTTATTTGGATTAAATGACAATTGAAGCATCAACAGGCGGCCGTTTTAGCATTATTTTCACTGTTTGCAACATAAATGTACATGAGATCGGGACATAGGTATGTATAAGAACAGCATTTGTTACTTTACATTTTTATGAATCTATATTCCATGTCATAGAAAGGGAAACTGTTTTAGCATTGTGGATTAAAAATTTAATCAAAAACTTTTAATTCAGTATGCCTGTATTTTTGATTGATTGTAATTTGACTTTTGTACGGTTGTATTCATATTCATTTGTACTCATATTGATGTAATATAAGTAAATGATGAAATAAATATTTCAAAAAATCTTGAATGATACTAACTGCAGTTAGAGTCATCCAGGTGTGGAACAGTGGTTAGGAACCTTTCTGGCACACTCACATTATTCAGTCTAAATTTGTTGAGGACCAGTATCAGTATGAGTATAGAAATCGCCTCCATCCCTCCGTTCATTTTTTCCGATTATCGGGCGTGTCTTGAACCGTTCTACAGATATCTAAAAGTACCTGTAGGTCATCACAAAAGTATTCCAAATTCAACAAGATTGCTGTCGGTCAGCTTTTGGTCGATCGGAAAACTAAAAAAACTGTCATGTGGAGTCTGTAATTCTAGTAATTATGTCACCAACAAGAAGTGGACGCCGGTTGGCGTCTGTAACAAATTCTCAAAAATTCCAATAACTCAACAATTTAATACTGTTGAGACTGACTTCAATTTTTTCCAAGTCCAACATATTTTACACTACATGCATACAATTAGATAAAATACAATTATAGAAATTTCAAGATACATCTTTCTTATCATTATTTCAGTATCAAATATAGCTTTTAAATTACCAGCTGCATTGACCCGGCCTTTTTTTAAATTATGTATAGCTTTTTAATTACCAATGTTTTAAGTAAATCTTCCAATTTTTGATCTTTTGTAACATTTACATCATTCCAAATTGATTTAATACAGTCATAATTCATAAAGAAGTGATCAATGTCATATGAATGGCACCCTTTCAAAATGGTCTTCAAATAATATTAACAATCAAAATGAACCTAATGAGCAGTCTGTGAACTATACCATCAATGCTGGAGTGCCACAAGGGTCTGTCCTTGGACCGTTACTATTTCTAATTTATATAAATGATTTGCCAGATGAATTACTATCAAAATCGTTCATTTTTGCCGATGATACTTCCATTTATTGCCCATATGACAAAAATACAGTGTTTTTCAATATTCATCAACCAATTCAAAGTGATTTGGACAAGCTTGCTCTCTGGGCTGCCACCTGGAAGATGCAATTCAAAGCTCAAAAAAGCGCCGACATCATTTTCTCTAGAAGAAATATTCCTTTTGACCCACCACCATTGAGATTAGGTGCAGATGTTATTCCCAGTTGTGAGAATCACAAACATCTAGGGCTTAATCTTGACAAACACCTTAACTTCAATTACCATATTGATCAGATTATAAAAAGAGTTACCTCACTCCTAAGACCAATGAAAAAATTGAGCAAACTTTTAAATAGTATGCACTTAGAGATAATATATAATACGTATATCATGCCACATTTTGATTATTGCGATGCAATTTACAATAAGGCTTCAAATTTGAAACTACAAGCTCTTGACAGACTCCACTACCGAGCAGCCTGTTTGGTATCTGGTTCTATTCATGGATCCAATACTATTAAAGTCTTAAATTCTTTGAATTGGAAATCCTTATCCGTTAGAAGAATCGAGCACCTAAAAATGTTTGTTTTTAAATGCAGATATAATATCAACCCCCCGTTTATTTGTGATTTACTTCGTAAATATGAGCATATACCTGCCCGTAATTTAAGAGATCAAAGAGATTATTCTCTTCCAACTCGACTGAGCATGTCTTCTAAAAGAAGTACCATATTTCAGGCTATAACATTGTGGAATGATTTGCCACCTGATACTAGAAGGGGTCAACCTATTTCTAGTTTTAAAAGATTAGTGCGAGAGTACAAGAGCCCTGTCTCTTTAATCCCAACTACTAAATTAAATGTGACCTTACCCAGACATCTCGAAATAAAACTTAATAGACTAAGATCTGGCCTCTTATTAAAATCACACCTTTATGCTCACAACTTCAAAGACATTACTGATCCTTTGTGCCATTGTGGTGTACCAATGACAACCATGCATTTTCTTTTAAAATGCCCACTGCTACAGAATGAAAGAAACAACCTCATTGCAGGCCTTCGTACTTACAATTTAAGTGACTTGTTCAATAACTACAACTTGAATGACAAATTACAATTTTTACTGTTTGGAAGCACTAACCTGGATGCTACTATGAATGAAGCTTTAATTCATATTGTTAGCTATTATATACATACAAGCCTTGTTTTATTATCTATCTAGTAGTAATTTGACAAGTCCTTTTTTCTGCAATGACCGAATTATTTTTCAAGTTCCGTTAACATCCTGGCCCATGGGATAACCTTCAGGTATTTTGAAATAACCTTAACAAATTTATCTTATTTCATTATCTAATATCTACATGTATATATAATATATATATTAAATTGCCGCTAATGTTGCAAAACCTTGGCAATTAGAATTTGTAATTGAATGTAAATGTTTATATTAGAAATAAATTGATAACATGAAAAAGAAAATAACATATAAAATATCATAAAAAAAAAAAAAAAAATGTCATATTTTACATGTGAGTTATAAAAGTTACAGATGTCAGAGTTTTCTATGTTTCATTTCTTCAAATAAATATTTTGAGGGTAAATACCATGTAAGATTTTCCATTGAATTACCAAAAGGGTAGTATCGGTTGTACATTCAAAGAAATGAGACCAGACTTTATCATTTTAGAATCTCAACATTTAATATTTTTATGTCACACTTTCTTTCTAAAGCAATTTTTGTTCTCACAATGCCTGTGTTTAAAAGATGGCTCTCAATGCCTTTAAAATAATATTGTACAAGGTGTTTCTATTTCATATTTGATAAGGAGATCTTGTGCTAAACATACTTTAAGTCGTGCATTATATTGAAGAATTGTTCGGCCATTTCTCTCTATTTTCTGGACAATGTTATCATATGTTAACATTTCCCTATCCTGTCCAACATCTGAAATATATATAATACCCTCTTCAATCCAGTTTTTCCAAGTCATCTACATTTTTCAGAAGTTCAAATCTGACTTTGCATTTAAGATTTGACATTCAATGACCTTTTCAAGGTCAAAAAAGGCTAAAAAGGTCAAAAAGTTATTTTTCCAACTTTTTTTAAAAAATCATCTACAAGTTATCAGAAGTTCAAATCTGACTTTAGATGACCCTTTTAATGACCTTTTTAAGGTCAAAAAAGTTTTATAAAGGTCAAAAAGTTTTTATTTCAACTTGCTTCAAATTGGCCAATCTTTTTTTCAAAATCATCTACATCATCCCTGTCCCTAAAGAATAATTGCCCCCTATCCAACGGTTTATACAGGGAGCTAATAGGGAGGTTAAGCTACACGTTATTAAGAGAAAAAACGTGTAGCTAACCTCTCTTATAATAACAACTTTCCCGATATCTTCAAACTCAACTAGTATATATTCATTAACTATAAAAACAGGACTGGTCTAAGGTGTAGGTCGAAGGGGTTTTAGTACATTCCGTTTCAGTGCAAGGGAAGTTAAGATACACGTTTTTGTTCCTCTGTGGATTTGTTCTCCCATTTCTACTGTCTACTGGCTGATATAAAATATAAAGGTATACGGAAAATAATTGTAATAAGATCAGTGAATTGAGGGCAGGATAGTGATACCCGGGAGTCAAAATATTACACACTCACACACACGGGTTCTCTTAAAAACGTGTGACTTACCCTCCCTAAGTTAGCAACCAATGCACCTGCTATAAGAAGCATCTAACCACGTGTTAAATAGCTCGATCACATTGCTAGGGGCACAGTCAGTCAGCACTACAGTTCATCCTATATACCTGCAATAATGATAGGTTTATAGGAGATAGCCTGTGCTGACCGTGGCTAGGAGTGCCTCAGAACAACCGACCATTCATTCACTAGAAGATCTACAAGGAGCCCTCCTTGATTTGAAAATGGAAATTCAAGATATAGACACGTTTTTACTGGAGTTTATGGACGTAGGTGGTATAAAATTCGGAGACTTTGTCATGAGAACAGGGGAACATTCGCCCATTTATATTGACATGAGAGTGATATGGTCTTACCCTAAATTAGTGGTAAGTGAAATTGATGAAACCTAAAAAAAATTCAATTGACCATCAATCCAAAGTGATTTAGAAGCTTTTGTATACACTAGATTGCTCATGGCTTGGTGCGTAGCCTGGGATTGTATTGTGATGCTGTAGTGAAACTCCCTAAATTACTAAATTACTGCCTGGTCCTTTGATTGCTTATTGCCAGGATTTGCCAAGGGGGGTTGTTTAGTTTTCAAAAAGTTCCAGGGGGGTTTACATTTGCAAATTTTGGTCCAAATATGTCTAAAATCACTTGAGAAATGCTCAAAATGGTGAAAACTGCATGATTTTGAAAGAATTTTTGTGGGAGGGGTCGGGGGGGGGGTCGGTCTACGGGCCTGTTTTGTGTGTTAAGTCAATACCTGAACAACAGTCACCTTGCTATAATTTACTACCCCAACAAACAAAGTTTGGTAGGGAGGGATAAAGACAAGTAAAGCCTCCGTCCATCTGTTTGGAAAATAAATCAGGCACCAGTGGAACAGAAAATCCAATACAATGATTTTACAATGTATGGGTTTTTATGTGCTAATCGAGGGTTTAATGGCCTAGTCACATAGCCCGGCCGATGAGGTTACGATGAGCCAGCGATGCAATTTTCACCGAACTCGGCCGAACACCGGCCGGACACCGGCCGGACACCGGCCGGACATCCGTGGCGTTTGTTGCTTAAAACCGCATCGGTGGTAGCTCGGTGAAATTTTAACTTCGGAGTTAAATTTCACCGGGCTCTCACCGAGCTCCCTCATCATGTCATCGCAGCCCCATCGTAACCACATCGGAAAACACGTCGGCCGGTGCACGGCCGAGTATCGGCCGGTGTCCCGTGCATCTGAGACAACCAGAGGACGAGGTTTTTTAACGGACAGCGGCCGAGCTCCGACCGAGCTCCGGCCGATGTGGGACAGAGCATCGGCCGGTCACTGTTCAAAGCCCGTTAACAACCCGGCCGGCGATCGCACGGTGTCCTGTTACCTGCTCGGGTACCGGCCGTATTCCTTCCGATGTCCGGCCGACCTCCGGCCGGTAGTTGCTGCCACATCGGCAGAAAAAAACTACCATTTTGAGACAGACTCCGTACGGTCACCGGCCGGTGTTCGGTCGGTCGCCTGAAGATGTCCGGACGGAGTCCGTTCACGTCACCGAGCTCTGCTTCCGATGAGGAGAGCTCGGTGGCACCAAAAAAATCCACCGAGCTCTACCGATGCCGGACATCGGCCGGGCTATGTGACTAGGCCATAAACAGTGGATTGTAAATATATATCGGGACATATATGAATAATTTATTTTGTTCATTGTGATATGCTACTCCGTGGAGGTGCCATTTCTAGTTCTTTTATGATTGCCAAGGACACGAGGTTAAAGTGTTTTGATAAAAAGGGCATACAACAAAAAGACGTACATTAAACATGAACCTATCACTATATATACCCCTTCCAAATTATAATATGAATGACTCCCCTGGATACCGTCGTTCAACAAGTTAAACATAGTCTGGGCCTAATTTATTATCCGTCATTTCTTAGGTCGCCCAACAGACTGCCCAACCGGCCCCAGCAGAATTCAGAATAATACATTAAGCTACCCTACAAAGTCGTTTGACTTCACTTCTTAAAAGAGAGCTTCGTCTTTGTAGTTTAACTAGACTCTACACGCAGGGTAAAATTAAGCCGGATATTGGGTTTAACTTGTTGAACTGCCCTGAATATAGAGGCCTGTAGATGCAGTAATAAAATTCTTGATAACTCTGTGTGTTCAGATATTTGAAAGTAAGTGTGTGCGTTTGAAATCTTTATGCAATCCTCATTGGAGTCATGTGTCATTTTTAGGTCACATACAGGGTGGTCAAAAAAATGGAAACCCTAATACCATTTTCCTCATATCTTTGTCATTTTAAAAAATAACTCCCTGATATTTTACACTTTTGTACATAATTCAATTTGCTACCAGCCTACTTTATTTCATGACCATCAGATTGATAGCCACAATGTTACAGTACTTTAAAGAACATGCCTAGTGGCCACTATTGCTTTGTGGGGAAACCTATACTCATCGTCTAAAATGTCCCTACCTGTGTGGATATGGCAGAGATAGAGTGTATAAGAATGACCTCAGGACAATTGCAAACCTCAAAAGTGAGATTATTTGTGTCATTCAGGCCATACCTGCTGAGGAATGCATTCGGGTCATTGACAACTGTGCTGTTTTGCCACAGCGCGATAATGGCCAAATCTGAAGCATGTTATTCAAAGTGCTGTAAAATTGTGACTATCAGTCTGATCGTCATGAAATATGGTAGGATGGTAGGAAACTAAATGATGTACACATGTGTGAAATATCAGGGAGTAATTTTTTAAAGTGACAAAGATATAAGGAAAATGCAGGGTTTCCATTTTTTGACCACCCTGTAACTCATTCCATGTACGGTCTACATCTACCCTGCGCGCAGAGTCTAGTTATAAACTACTGAAGACGAAGCTCTGTTTTAAGAAGTGAAGTCAAACGAATGCAAAGGGCAGTCTACATCTCTCAGTTTTGCTCTAGTCTACTCAAAAGTGCACATATACTCATAAACTAAGAAAAAGAAAAGAGAGAAGAGAATAATATTAAAAAATGTTTAAAAATGAGAAAATTCAGTGACCTACTTTTTAAAAGTACAAAATAATTAGGTCACTGACTTTTTCTAATTTTTGTCATACTAGTATAAGAAAGTGTTCCTAATAATACCATGTGACTGCAATGGGAATTTGAAATCCCATGTTATTTTCTCAAGCTATAAAATTGTTAATATCAAGTCCCATGATATTTCTATTCGGAAAACGTGAGATATATGGTTATCAGCCGATGGCAGACTTGTCATGTTTTGTTTTTGTTGTAGAAAATTGTGTCGAAAATGATGATAGCTGAAATGGAAAGAAGAGAAGTGAAATATGATCATATATGTGGCATACCATACCAAGGTATACCTATAGCTAGTGTAAGTATGGTTCCAAGACACGGCATGTCAATATGACTAAAATGTACAGGGTGTCAAATAAGTCCCGTCCCCCCTCTACAGCCAAGACCAAGTTATATGGTACCAAGTGTGATATATCATTAGAAAGGTCTTCCAAAGTTACGTTGATTGGCGGATATCTGACACATGTCAATCAATCTCAAATTTTTACATTATATCAATTGAGGTGACCATAGGCCTAGAAACATGGCAATTTGGTGCATTTGGCAGGATTTTAAGAATTGGGTATGAGAAAAGTCAAAGGACCTAAAGATGACTACATATGTATATGGTAATGAATTCATCCAATTTCTGGATATGGTTAGATGGTGAAAACCTTTTTGTTTCAAGTTGAATGCGAAAAAGATTAACTTTTTGATGTATTTCTGAGGTCATATCCTTCTCATTTTGACGCAATGAAAGCTGCTTAAGGAGGGTACAGTAACTATAAAGGACATCATGAAAATATAGGTGAATTTCATCCAAAATACTTGACAGTTGTTGAGTTAACATAACTTTGGATGCTCTTTCCAATGGTATATCACACTAGGTACCATCTATTAACGTGTTAGCTGTAGCAGGGGGGACGGGACTTATTTGACACCCTGTATATATCTATTCATGCTCTCAAATGCAATTTCATTTCAAAAGTTTTTCATCAATATTACAAAATTCAATTCAAGTAGATTGATTTATTGTAGCTTATTATTAAAATTGAATACGTTACACATTTTAAATTGAATATACACATTTTATGGAAGCAAAGCCCCATACAACAATTTTTGGCTGTGGGAGGGGGTCGCTCGCACCCCCTGACACCCACCCAATTGGGCTGCTGGCCTGAAATGTAACAATAAGATGTTATGAAAATGAAGAATTATTTTGCTTCCAGTACATCTCAACAAAGAAAGACATTCCAATGCTACTGAAGAGGCAAGAACAGAAGAACTATGGTACCAAGAAAATGATGGAAGGCATCTATAAGTCAGGAGACAAAGTCATTCTTATAGACGATGTTCTTATGACAGGGGGGACTTTTATTAAAAACATTCCTGTAAGTGATTTTGCCTCAAGTAGACTGATCAGCATAAGAGTTTATTAATATACATATTCTATATATACATTTATTATTAGGCATTTTAATTAGTTCTTTTGTAATTGAAGTAATTTGATCAATGCAGTTCACAGTTTCACTACTGGGTAGTGGGTAGTTGTACTATTACATCTGAGGATGCAAAAAGCCTGCTATACCGCACTTGATTAATAACACACGAAAAAGTACTTAACTTAGATTTGCCACTTCTCCTTCATGTCCTTTGTACATGTATTTTAAACAAAATTGATGTCTTAGCAATGTAATCAGATACTGTATGATTTGAAGATGGGGACAACAACAGGATATATCCTAAAAGTCCTCTAATTGATACCTGATACCTACACGTTGCCAGAGCCTGTGGTCAGATGTTAAAATTAAGAGAATATGTTATTTTTAGATTATTTTACAGACTTTTAATTAATGAATATTGAATTTTCACATGCCAGTGTCTTATACCGTAGGTCGATGGTGGCCTGTGTTATTGTTCGTATTTTACGAAATTTTAGTGTACTATTTATTAAATAAATATACAATATATATACAAATATATACCTTAATTGTCTATTTCCTATCAAACAATAAAAAGACATGCTTAAGGAAAGTCTAGAAGAATGTAAACTAATGAAGTCGTATTCTTTATTTCAGTATTTTCGAAATGAAGGTCTTGAAGTTACTGGGGCATTTTGCTTCTTTGATAGGAACCAAGGGGGGCGAGAACGGGTACTAAATGAACTCAATGTAAATATATACTCGTGAGTATTACATACCTATCTAAGCTAAATATAAACCAGTGTGACTTAAGAGTTTCACCCAAGAAAATGGACCAAGAAATTCACTATACTCGCTTCATTTTACATGTTCGTGAGCCTTTGCATGCCATACATGTCAAAACTGACACACGGGAAAGTTGGGATAAGTTGCACCAGTTTGCCCAGTGCCATAATATGTCCCACACGCAGCAATGAAACCTTCTCTGATTTCAGTCATACATACAATGTACAGGGTGTTAAAAAAAACGCAACCCAAAGAAATCGCAATATCTTGGAAAATACTAATCCAATTATGTTCATATTTTTAGGAAAGAAAGAAGAGACTGTGTATGTATAGCCCCTGTTGTTAGTTAGTTGTAAAACATGATATCTTGGACACTTTTTCAAAAGACAGTTGAACTAGCAAAATATGAATAACGTGAATGGAAAATCACTATATCTTGGAAAATATTAATTCAATTATGTTCATTTTTTCAGGAAAAGAAAGAAGAGACTGTGTTTCTATAGCTTCTGTTGTCAGTAAGTTATAAAACATGATGCCTTGGACACCTGCTCAAATGACAGTTGTACTAGGAAAATATGAAAACGCAGTCAGAGGTGACTGCCACAGCAATAAAACCAAATAACGTTCTAACCATGGTGTTTTGGCACTTCAGATTTGGCACAAATTATCCTCATTCAATGTGTAGTGAATTTGTGGAGTTTCATCAAAATCACTCCAGGGATTTTACAGTCATGGTCAAAATGGCTTCTTAAGTCTCCATGAACCAGGGCGTTTGACTGCGATTTGAAAGCATTTCAACCATAACTGTAAAGTCCCTGAAGTGATTTTGATTTCACTCTTCAGATTTACCATACAATGAATGAAGATGATTTGTGCCAAATTTGAAGAGCCAAAACACTATGGTTAGGAAGTTATTTAATTTTTTCGTGGTTGCTGTCACCCCTGACTGCGTTTTTCGTATTTTCCTCGTACAACTGTCTTTTGAGCAGGTGTCCAAGGCATCATGTTTTACAACTAATCATTTACAGGAGCTGTTCATACACAGTCTCTTCTTTATTTCCTGAAAATATGAACATAATTGAACCAGTATTTTTCAAGATATAGCGATTTCTTTGGGTTGCGTTTTTTTTAACACCCTGTATTATATGTCTTAAAACATACATCAAGTTTATTTTATTCCCTTTCAGACTGCTTTCTTTACAAGAAGCCTTAGAGATATATGTTAAGTTTGGAAAAATCACCCAACAGAAATGTGATGAGATATTACAAATGCTCAGAGAAATAAGGTTTGACACACCAGCAGCCAAGGAACCATGCCTCTCAACTGAGACTATAAATAGAAAAGATGATTGATATCATGTCACCAGTTTGAACAATGTTAATCTGAAGTATCAATAAGGACCGTCTCATACGAAAACATTCTGTGCACCTCATCTTCATATTAAACATTAGTATGGGATTTTTTGGTGAGTGCAAAATTCCCATTTTCCCAAAGTTGGGACAAACTAAGTCAATTTTTCTCATTTTAAAGTAGGTGAAATGGGTTTTGAAAGTGCCTACTTTGCTTAAAAGCATGTGAGATGACTGTTTTGATATATATTATTGGCTTATGTGCTTCTCCCCTGAGAGACAATGGGATATAAATTGATGTGGCTGGTTATGTAGAGCATCACATGGGTTCACCATGCAGCATCAACCAAAATCAAAATTAACCAACCAAAATATTTTGAAAAGTGCAAATAAGGTTTTTGTGCAATTTTGACGAAGAACTAGATGAACAACTGCAAATGTTTTATATTTTGTACATTTCAAAAATGGGTTAAGTTATACCCTGTATTTAACAAGCCATACCATAACAAAGGTTTTGATATTTTCCATGATGTTATAGTAAATCTAGCTGGTTTTGAGGGAATGATGAATTTCTATGTAAGATCAAATTCAGAAAATATAACACTAAACTTCTAATACAAATCTTGTTTTTAATATTTTATTTCAAAAATTCATAATTTTCAACTTTCACTTTTGCAGAATGATTGTTCAAACACAAACAAATAAGGCCAGAATAAGTTAACTATCTGCTCTGTTTCTTGCCATTTTTCAAATTGATGACCGGTTGTGGCATTTAATTTTTGATAATATATAAAAACAATGTCCAGATAAATACACCACTATACTAATTGTGAGCTTTATAGTATCAAAAAAATCATTTTAATTTTTGTCAATGTGGGTGGCATATATATCAAAAATACTAGCAGAATGTGCATGCAGGAATCAGAAACAACAGAAATAACTTACTCTAGCCTGAAGTTAAATGACATTTTATGCAGTCGCCACTTGAAATATACAGAAATGTCCTTGTTAGACTAGAGTAATCAATGAGAAATATTCTAAATGGCTCAAAGAGAATTTGCCTTCTTAACAGTCAAAGACGTGTTAGAATTGTGACTAACAACATGGACAGGTTTCAGCCATTGGACTACAAGTTAGAATCAGTGAGATATCTGTCTCTCAAATGTCTGTCCAGAGGAATTGGTAGAGTTATTTGCAGGAAGAGATTGTTGGCCTATGTTCATTGAGACTGGAATATCAGGCAGGTTTGCCTGAAAGAAAAATAAACTGTGTTAAAAACATAAGAAATAAAATATGAACAGGGGAACAATACTTTCCTTTGTAACATAGCTTATTTTAAAGAAAAGATGTACTGTTTTATAAAAGTTTATGATTAGTGCCATCATCATCGCTTATTGGTAAAATATAGTTGTTGATCATATCACTTAGGAACAAATGGACATGCATTCAAACAATAAAATGTTTGTATCTGTTGAAATTAAAGTGGTATGCATGAGAGGTAATATCTCTTAGTGCGGTTTTTTAATCTACTCACCACTTGACTAGAGTTCATAAGGTCATGCCTATCCAGGTTCAGGAGGTGAGAGAGAGGTTCATCATCTTGGTCTTCAAATATTGGTTTATTGTCTTCAGTTACAACATCTATTTGCTGGAGCATCATGTCTTTAACATCATCCAACTGAAAGTCACACAAATACATACAGGTGCAGGTTTTTTGAGGGGCCGAATTATTATTTCACAAGAAAAGTTCCTTGGGTATGAGTTTTGAAAAATAATACTTCATTCAACAGGAATTCATCGAAATGGAATAAGAAACTGATGAAGTAGACAAATGTTTTGATTAGGATGGCCGATATCAGGATAATAATTGTATTTTCTTCGCGAATTACTCATAGTCTAAGTTTTATCAAACAAATGAGAATACTCAGAATATCAGGCTAGACCTAAAAGTAAACAAGAAGGACTCCTGGGTTCATTTTTCAAAATTTGAGTCAACCTCTTTATTGCCAATTTTCTCTAAAAGAGGCCTTATTTGAAAATAAGATGCAAAATACTCAATAGTATTCTTACCATATCAGGCTCTTCATCTTTAATTGGCAGTCTTGACCTGTACTCTTGTAGAGGGACGTGGAGCATACAACGTGGCTGCTCCTCTCCACATGATGCCACAGGCTTAGCACAGGTCATCTGACCATATCCACATGCTTGGAATAACACCTGATGGGGGTCTTCCAAAATATCTGGCCTAGTTAAGGAAGCAATTTCTAAATTCTGATAATATTTTTGCCAAAACATCTTTAGATAACTCATTTAAAATACCCTGAATTTTTGTTGGTTTTCCTTAGCAATTTCTAAATTCTGATAATATTTTTGACAAAACATCTTTAGATAACTCATTTAAAATACCCTGAATTTTTGTTGGTTTTCCTTAGCAATTTCTAAATTCTGATAATATTTTTGCCAAAACATCTTTAGATAACTCATTTAAAATACCCTGAATTTTTGTTGGTTTTCCTTAGCAATTTCTAAATTCTGATAATATTTTTGCCAAAACATCTTTAGATAACTCATTTAAAATACCCTGAATTTTTGTTGGTTTTCCTTAGCAATTTCTAAATTCTGATAATATTTTTGCCAAAACATCTTTAGATAACTCATTTAAAATACCCCGAATTTTTGTTGGTTTTCCTTAGCATCTTAGCAGATAACTTCATTCAAAGTATTTTTCATTCAATGCATTTGAACAATAATTCTATCCTTGAAAATGTTCCCAGTTTAACCTGATCTGAGAAGTGACATTTTTCTTTATTTTCCTCATTTTTCTAGTGGTTTTACATTTTTACAAATAAGGGGATAAATGTCTGGGAACCTGAAAAAGTTCCATGCTGTTAAAACAATTCATATTCGAAAAGCCTGATTGAAGAGTAATGCACTTGGTTGAGAGGCTTCTTAAAACAAACACAATGATCTCATCAACCGACAAATTGTGGTAGAACAACTACTGTGCTCCATTTTCAAAAGGATACGTTGTTGGCAAAATTTAGAAAGTGGCACAACCCTCTGTAAACACTTGATACCATCTGTCATGTGTATACACTTAGAATAGGACGGATGTTTGTAGTTAGCACCTTCTGCCATGCGTCTTTGTTTAGACTGGCGATGCAGCAAAGCTTCCTAAAATGGTATTAATATATTTAGAAACAAGACACAGAGTGAACAGTATCGCACCCTTGAATAGAGAGTTTTAAGGACAGAAAGTTCTCCTTAACATTCACCCAAAATGACCAGTTCTAAACTTTCATACCAACAAACATCCCTTAAAATTTAAAGAGTTAGGTTTGAAACATGCAGACAAGACTTTACAGGCAAGAATTTAGGATAAAAAAATCCAAAATAACCACCTTAACAATACCCAGAATGCCCAAAAACTGCTCCATTTGAGATTTTCAAACAAAGAATCATTCCTGAAAATTTGAAATCAATTCATCAAATGGTTTGCCTGGAAATACATAGACAAATTAAGTGAATGCAAGACCATTCATATGGCAAACTGATCACAATATAGCAACCAAGGGACAAGGATATAAATAATGGGTTTTATGCTTGTAAGTTACACAATTGGTCCTGGCTCATACATTTGCCTTTTTTCAGAAGACTGGCTTTTTTCACGAGGTGGGCATATGAATTGGTCTTGCTTTAGAACCTACCAAAATATGCTCCAAATTTCACATACAGTTTTTGACATTGGTTGTTAGCTTATTTATTTTCCTGTTTGAGATAATAATTAATAAAGGCCCTGTGTACTTACTCTACCATGTCTTTTGTGGTACTTTTTCATTGCCATTAGTTTATTGTATTTGTCTCTCTGATTGGGGTCATCCTTACTTGAATGAACAGAGCCTGGAATAACAAGTCGACACAGTGTATGTTTGATTCATATTTAGGCCATCATTCCTCATTATCAAAAGTGTTTAAAGTAGATTGCATGCAATGAATGAACAAGGTATTCACATGCAAAATGTCACCATCAGCCATTTGTTACAAACGCCAAATGCTGAACACTAACTGCCAAACATCAAGTGCTACCACAAAAAAGTGACGGTGACATGAAAATGGATTTGTGTTAATTTTATCTACACCTTACAAAATCCCCTATTCTAATTCTGTGTATTTTTTGTTTGTAAGCCTCTCAACCTATTTTTTCTTCAACACCATGACTTCACATAAAATCAATTTTCCCCTAATTATTGTCCACAAACATGATCAACTTAACTTACTAATACGATCTCTTTCTATTCGCATTCCCCGTAAACATTTTCTCCTTTTTTCTCTCATGACATGCTGAAGACGTTTGAACTGGTCAATATAGAGGGACTGTAAACGAATCAGTTTGTCTCTTGTAATCAATGCAACCTCCTCTGCAGTATAAATACCAGCATGCCTGAAACAGAAGAAATAAATTTGTGAGGTATTTGGTATAAGTAAGTAAAAAATATATTTTTCTGAAAAGTGATTAGTGAACCCCACCTTGGCAAACACTGGAAACGGGCCAGATTGTTTAACTGAGGTAGTTCAGCATATTGAAAATGTGAAGCAATTTTCATGATATACCTGTAGGTAATATTTTTCTCAGTTTAGTGGATATTTACTTGCCCTGGTAGAATACTAAGAAGGTAAAAATACATCCAAAAATTATTTGAACATTTTTTTTATCAAAATATTTTGATGAAATATTGAAATGATAATTTATGATGTTAATCATTTACAATGAGTTTGATTAAAACTTTGCACCAATTTTGGGAAATGAAATCTAAAATGAAAGTATATGTGGCCTACTATATACTGTTCTGAAACCTTTTTAAAAAATAACCCTGAGGTACTCACTTTAGAATATCTTCTTGTTCACTGTCTATACTCTCAGCATCACTGTCTCCATCACCTCTCCATGCCTGGTCAACCAAACACGTCTCTGTATCTGATTCTCCAGAGCTTGCATAGTCTGTAAAATAAATTTAGATTTTCTAATAAATTATATCAGCAAGATAATTTTGATTACAAGAATTTTTTTTTAATTTTCAAAATTGGTAATACCGCTAACTGAAATGATTTCATGAGCAGAGTGTCGATTTTTGAATATTCAAGTACAAAACAAATAAACATTTTAAAATTTTGTGATATAATTTACTGGTGGAGACTGACATTTTTGAATGTCTTCAAAACTGGATTGGATATACACTGAACGAAAAAACCGACAATTCCAATTGAACTGGTGAAATTGGGGTCTTTTGCCAAATTAAAGGTGCAAAATTAATTAGAAGTACAGTAGGAGACATCTTTTGCTTCCAATATTTTACTCTTCTAACCGTCTGCTTCTTTTAAGGCAAAACATGACAGATAGAAGACCACAGACATGACACGTGACATCTAAGACATGTGACATCTAAGTCTAGCAGTTCATAAGCAAAGAAAAACCAAAGTAGAAGATTACCCCTTAAGATACCTAGAATGCGACTGGCCATTGTATCAACTGAACGAGGTCTCCGTAACTCTGGATTACTGCTAGGGTTAGATCCATTATGATGTTCTAGCTCTTCCAATAAGCTCTCGGGAGTTTCTCTAGGTTTATGCTTTCTAGCAGCTTGCTGTCGTAATATCGCAGTTTTCTTGGCGTGTTCTATACAATACCTGGAAATCAGTATCATAAAAGTCACGTTAATATTACATGTAGCTTGAAAAACAGGAAACAATGCAGGTTGTTTGTGTATCATGTGTATGGAACTTTTTAAGTGCAAGCTGCAAACAAATAGAAACCATTAGACCTGTTGGTTTTATTTCTCAATATTTGGTTATTAAAGATGTGGACTGATTGCTATCATATCATGCGAAATGGCATTAGATAAGTACTTGGATGAATATACTGAAACAGAGACACATACGTCTCTGACTGAAAGGATAGCAACTCATCAAAGGGTCCACTGAAACACTTATTTTGTGGTATCCCTAGTGTTCTATCATTAGATTCTGTTATGCACCATGGTCTCGTTTTCCTAGTACTTCATACTTTATATTAAGTTAGTCCATCCATTGGGTGATTGCTATATAGCAGTCATACAAGATACTCAGAATGCCAGTACTTCAGTTGCCTTCAGAGCCTTTGTATGTTAATCCCAGGTATGTTTAAGGTCTCATGGAAGTTAACAGGAAATGACAAAACAGGAAGTGACAATTTTTTTGGCATTTTTAGACATTTTTTGAACAAAGATAACGGAGTTCACTTTTGACCTCCAGTCAATTCAACTAGTTCCAGATACCATTTACAGGTCCAGGATCACAATGTTTATGGTCAGAATGACCCTAAATATCATGAAATAACCTTTTCAGCCCTATGAAAATGTGACTGAAAAATAGCTAAAAGAAGGAGGTAGGAAAGGTCACTGAACAGAATCTTTTGAATTTTTCAGAAAATGTGCCCAATATATTGCTCTAAATGGTACAATCTTTGAAAATTTGATATCATTCATAGAAAGAGAAAAAAAATGAAAAAACTGATTTGAAAAGCGATCTATTTTCCTTTTTATGACCACCATTTTTGTTTACGACAATTTTCTAAAACTTCAAAGATTGTATCAGTTAGAGCATTATATTGGGCACATTTTCTGAAAAATTCAAAAGATTCTGTTCAGTGACCTTCCCTAGCTCATACTTTTAGCTTTTTTTCAGTCACACTTTCAAGGGACTAAAAAGGTTATTTCATCATGTTTAGGGTCATTCTGACCATGCACATTGTGATCCTGGTCATGTAGATGATATGTGGAAACAGTTAAATTGACTGGAGGTCAAACCAGAACTCTGTTATCTTTGTTCAAAAAATGTCTAAAAATGCCCAAAAAATTGTCACTTCCTGTTTTGTCATTTCCTGTTAACTTCCATGAGACCTTAAGAAGCTTAACAATAACATACCCATCTTTTCTATCTGATTTAGGTGCAGCATTGTGGCACCTTTTTCCATTCTTATTAGACATGTAACTGCATTGTTTGTAGGGAGCATCTTTATCTTCGAGAATATGCTTGATACAATAATCAAATCCATCAATTCTGTTCTGCATACATATTCTGTGGGAGTAGTTGCAGAATAGGCCTTCAATTGGTGCCTTTGGTCGCCTTATTATCTGCTGTTTGCTCTTGTACATCCTGAAGCTGATTGATCACCTGAAAATATTGCATCACAACTATAGATAAAACAAGGCATGGTGTAGCCTCAGAGGGGGAATAACACCAGAGTTCAAAGATGATATTTGTAAACTTGTATTGAGATGACATACTTCTCTGATTGGTCAAAAGTTGACAAACAAATGATGTCATCAATGGCGGTTTCAAAATACGCTTTCATTTCTGGCGTGTTAACCAATATCATAGCTTCTCAATTCACATCAAGATAAAGAAACTTGTACGGAATATGCCTATATCAATTAAAACATCCCATCCAAGTGTAGTATTTGATAACTAGCCGACGAAAATTCGAATGAACGAAGGTGGTAAGCCAGAGACGTAATTATGTCTGTCATCTTTAAACTCTGGGGCTTTCCCTCCTCTTATGTACACAAATGTTTCAAACTGTAAACAAACGTCATGCTAACACATGACAATGTGAAAATTTATTCAACAGTCTTTCTTCCTGCAGTTCTACAGATAATGATATTTCTGTGCAACCATGTGCGATATTTGGAATTCAATCTAGCAAAATATTACCCTGCGTGCAGAGTCTAGTTAAACTACACTCTGCCTAGTAGAGACCATATTACAGTTTAGTAGCCCCGCCCCACGACGCGGTGACAGTTTGGGTAATAAATCAATTTTGACCTACGCGCTGACCACCAATCAGCGAGCTCAAAGAAACATACGCCAAATGCGTTCTAATTAAATATGCGCATGTCATTGGTCAATTCTGGGCTCGACGATGACGTCAGAAGGAATGACCATATATAGAACGTCGGTCAAATTTGGCCGACGAACACTGATTGGCGCGGTGAGTTCACAGGTTTATTTTAGTTTGAAAGAGTGAAGACGGAGCTCTCTTTTAAGAAGTGAAGTCAAACGAATGCAAAGGGTAGCAAAATATCTAAATTGAAAGTACAGTTCAGTGATTTTTGGCTAGATAGCGCCACTTGTTCTCAAAACTTGACTTGTTGACAGTTTTTTGCACCGCTTCTTCTACACTTTATGTAGTTTAATTGCATTTATATATCATACAGTACGAATGAGAGTGTTCTATTCTATATACTTTGATATAAATCTATGCTAACTTACCCAGATATAAAGAGAAACGTGGTGTTTTGGGAGCCGGTCCTCTGGAACAAGTGCCTGCAATAATAACGTCGTTATTGACCTACTTTGAGGAAGTGACTGAAGGAAATTCACTTTCGTTTTATTAGAAAGAAGAGAATAAATTACAAAATACAATTTAAATGCCTTCTTAAATGCTCTTATGCAATAATTATTATCAAAAATACAAATATAATGTCTAAATAAGTAAATTATAATTATATAAATTGATCATAAACCAATCAAATTACAAAGCGGTATTAAGTAGGTCAAACGTGACTCATAGTCTGTTCGTCTACGTACTGCGAATGGCGGGGGAACGATGGATCTTCACCAAGCAACAACTCATCAATACCCCCAGCCGAAAAGCCGGTATAGACGCAGACAAAGAGTTGTCATATAGACAACAGGCAGCAAACTTTATTCAGGATATGGGCCAGAGATTACAAGTGTATCCTATTTTTACAAATCTAATCTCAAAGTTGGGTAACATTTTCGACGCCATTTTTCTACGTCTTTGTTCTTACCTTTTATAACCGTCTATTTCTATGTGTTGTCGGTATGTTAAGCCTTCCAAATACAGACTTTAATAATCCTCTATGTTTCAAGATTCATTTGGTATGTCCTTCGTCGGATTCGCGTGTGTATTTTTCCAGATATCCCTGAAATAGGCAGTCGGCTGAAAACACGTCCACTCAGTTTCACATTATACCATGAATTGAAATACATATGATCTTCCATTGGACATTGTATTTTTTCTTCAAATTGTTGAGGAACATTAACATTTAATACATCACATTCTTATTCAGTTTGAAGTCTGCTCCCCAATATTGGTTGCTATATTCCATTTATAAGCAAAAAGAGATATTTGTTAATGAACTGACTTTATAAATGTACTCCATGACCTTAGATTATGTCTTAGAAGGCATGGTGACTTCTTACCTATTTGGCCTGAAACAATTGCTGTTCTCTGAGCTGTAGCTGTAAATTGAACTCTTGCTTCTTTTCACCTGCAATTTACATCACTTGTGGGATTGTACGACTTATTGATTTTATGTTTCTGTTTTTTTCATACAAATTCCGAAGAAGATTTATTATATTTTTCATGTAAAGCTGTACATACACTGACACATACGGTTTTACCTTTGGGAAGATAATATAAGTTGTGTATTGTTGGACTTGTAATTAGAAAAAACTATCTGACATGTAAATTGATGTTTTACTCATGTGGCATTTTCCTTGACTTCTTATTCAGACAGCAACTGGTCATCAATACATCAATTGTGTATATGCACAGGTTTTATATGTTCCATTCCTTCGCTAAATTTCACCGAAATGTAAGTATTACTTTTGATTCTAAATTCTAAATCTAGCTCGAATACAATTCTACTCACAAAATAGGTATTCAAATTACACTACCTTGGATTAACATAATATTATTCTAAGATATGTACAAGTGATAATATATTCCATCCCATATTGATTTTGTTTATTTCAGCAAATTGCAACTGCTGCTATTTTTCTGGGTGCTAAAGTAGAGGAACAGCCTAGAAAGCTAGAGCATGTTATCAGAGTGGCCCATATATGCCTACACAGGGAAGGCCCACCCCTGGACACAAAGAGTGAGGTATGATCTCTTAGACATTTGCACCAACTGAGAAGCCCAGATTTTGTTATGTATTAATAATACACCAGTGATATTACAATACAAGAAATTGGCTCATTGAATATACATGTACGTTCAGAGATTCTGGGATATCAAAGTACATGAAGTTGTGTACTGTAATCAATAGCTACACTTCAGATAAAACCAAATTTTATGGAAGGTACACATCCTAGAAAAAGGAGTTCTATGGGTTTTGATAAAGAGAGAATACAAGTTAAAAGTTTTTCCTTTAAAACCAATTGGATAATGTTTGGTTTATCATTGTTTTGGATACCCCAAAAAATATACAAGCCGCCTCCTGTGCTTTTACACACCTTTAATATGTGCAGATAATTGAAATTAAAGTTATCCTAGTTATGTATTATTGGTTTCCCTGGTTTATATTAGAATATGTTTACATTTCTGTTTAGGCATATTTGGATCAGGCCCAGGAGCTTGTCATCAATGAGAACATTCTCCTTCAAACATTGGGTAAGTATTCATTCTGATTGCAACAAGTTCTCGTAACCATGGCACATCTAGTTAGCGCACCACTCTTGGATTAGGATTGATCATTTTTACAAAAATTGGCATTCAATCAAGTAATATAAGAATACGCCAGATGTGGGTTGGTTTTTAACAGTTTCACCACCAGATGGCTAATTCGGGTCAGATAACATTGCAGGTATAGAAAGTTCCCTTAAACTTAAATATTCATCAGTTTTAGTTGTTCAATTTTCATATTACCCTTTCCTTATGTATCTGATACTTATACACATTAAAATATGTCCAGTAAAAGAAAATATTATCTGTCCAATACAAGAAAAGACATTTCACTCTTTATGATTTTTTAACATGGGGAATCTCCCCGACCTACATGTCACATTTTCAAAGTTTACACTTTTTAAAACAAGTATTCTTGATGTAACTTTGCATGTAAATTTCAAACATGATGTCCCTTTGACTGAATTTTGAATATTTAATGACGTAAATCAGGATTATTTCTACTCACATCTAGTCTATTGTCATGTCTATTCCTGCCAAGATTCAAAATTGCTTAGCAAGTTAGTAGGTTTATTGATACGAAGAATGCATGATAAAATCAGTTACTCTTGCAAAGGTTTTTGGTTGCTAAATCTTGAGCTACATATGTGAGTGTTTTATATCTTGTTATGAAATAAATTGAAAAATTTGACCTGAGCAAATTCTTTTGTGTCTCCCAAGCTCAAATTTGATATGCCCTGGAATCTGGTTATAGTTATATTCATGTGTTTATGTTCTGAAATCAATGACTGATTAAATAAAGATGGTAGCACCTCAGTATTTTGCCATTTGATAAAAATGGTTAGATCGTTTTGGAATGAGTCAATACTACTTTGCATTCAAGTCAAAATTGATAGATGGCAGCACTCAATAAATTTACAGTTAATAAATGCAGTTTGCAGATATTAATCTCTCTCTTTGATCACCACATGCCTTTTCTGTCCAAGGATTTGAGAAAATTTGCCACAATGCCCATATTATTACTAATGCCATTGCCACTGTCATTTTCATCAGTTTAATTGGAAGAATGAATTTGCAAATTAAAAAGCCTTGTCTTTTTGAAAATGAATTTCTTTAATCAAAGAAAAGATATCTGTTATCCTGGCCTGGTGGACACATTTTTGTTTTTTGAATATTCTTGCCTATAGATTTATAGATGGTAGCATTCAAGTATTTCACTGTCTGATAAAATGCAGTAGACATTATAGATTGTCAATGTCAAATCGTATGTGAGCAGTGCATTGATCTCTCAAGGTAATTTTCTCAGATTGGTGCAAAATTCTCATTTTCACCACCCAGACCAAAATTGGTTAGCCTAAAGTATGCCAATTTTCATGATTTTTCTCATTTTCAAGTGGGTGCAAGCCTATTTTCAAAATCTCAGGTGAGTGCTTTGTCCACTTGCTTTAATGCAGGGGAGACCACTGGAGTGTACATATAATTCGAGGGAAAATCAGAACTTCAATAAGTGTTTTGTTTTTAGAACTAAAACTATTTCCTACAATTTAGGAAAAAATTGGCGAATTTCACAATGGATTCCACAATTCTTAAAACAGCTGGGGAAGTTTGAACTTGTCAAAATGTCAGTAAAGGCTAAACAATTTGCTTGGGCCAAGGCATGGTTTGTCAAGGATAAGATACTAAAAGAATTCTGTTTAATTGTATTGTATCTTATTTTGTTTACCACCAATGAAAGTGAGCAATACCTCTTGGGTATATCCTGTATATAATACGGTTGTAATTATCATATGCAATAATGGAAGGCAAACCAAGGAACTTCTCCTTGAAGGAGCCCTGTGTTCTTTTATGTGCACTCAAACATAGTCATACAAATACACACCACAGCCTTATGTACGAGTTGTTGACCACTCAGTCAAACACCTTAATTAAATGTCTAATTAAATCACCGACAGCCATTTTTAAGTTGCTTTTTTCCATTCTTCTCTGGAATCTTTTGTTTTTAACATACAGTGTACATCTCTTATTTTATAAATTAATATTATTTAGACATGTTGGTTGGTCTTTGTATACTTCAGTCCTAGTTTTGAGATATCTTGTCCTGCACATAATTTTAATTTATCATCATTTATGCTCAAGGTTGTTATTTGTAATATAACAAAAATGTGATTAGATATTTTAAGAGCACGTACTAAGCTCTACTTAGTAACATATTTACTGAGGTGAGTGACCAGCCAGGGCACCAAAAGTTATAATTTAGAAAGTCATTCTAAGTTCCTAGTTGAGTGAATTTTAGCAATAGATACGAGGGGTGATCCAAAAGTCTTGGACGCCCTGCTCTAATTTTGTTGGTTTTTGATAAAATTACTTAAAACTTTCCAATAATAAAGACCAACAACCTAACTACTTTGTGTATTAATTTCATGGAGAAATGATATGTTTTATGTAGTTTTCTAGACAGTTTTTAATATGGGGACCTTGCCACCCGGAACAGTATTCACACATGACAACTTTCAGCCTTAAATGTTGCCGCCATTTGACTTGTTTCGCAAGTCTTGACCACTGTCTTTCTTTGAATTGTGAATGTTAAACCATGTTAGTTTACTTCCTTTCTTACTAGGCAACCAGTTAATTGTGTTTTAATTATAATGTCACATGTGACAATGATCATATATGTCAAATTCTAAGAAAATGACATCAGACAAGCAACCCTCATTCTGGTATCGTTTTTTGCTCCAAAATGGCTGCTGAAATGCAGAACATGAAAGATTTAAAGTGGAACAAAGAATACTACAAGATATTTTCACTATTATTGACCTTTAGCACCTACCATATGCACAATACAGTCTAGATATGGCTCTGTGTGATTTTCTTCCTTTTCTCGAAGTTGAAAGGAGGGTTGAAAGAAAATGTTTTTTACTCATTGGATGAGGTTTAGAGTGGCACTCCAGCAGCATTTGTTTCACATAAGGAATGGCGGTTTCATAAGTGTCTTCCATTCATTGGTAAAGCGGTATGAAAGATGGGTTCAAATTCATTGAAAATATGTTGAAAAGTATGTCTTAATATGTGAAGATGATGATGGCAGATGACGCATAGATTGAAAATCGGAAATTCTCTCATATAATGACTGGTGTTAGGTTGCGCACCCGCACCTAAAGTATTTGCCGTATTATAACAGTTGTGACGTGATTTGGTATATTTAAATACTGTTCCGGGTGGCAGGGACCCAGTGTTAAAAAATCTTTACCAAAAAGCTAAAATTTATTATTTTCTGTTGAAACTTATACACAAAGTTGTTAAGATGTTGATCTTTATTATCTTAAAGTTTCGAGCAATTATATTAGAAAATAGCAAAGTTAGAGTGGGGCGTCCAAGACTTTTGGATCACCCCTCGTATATAGGGATCGATATTCAAGATTCAACAAATCTTTGCCAAATGCAAATTCAGTTAAAATAAAAAACTGAGGAGTGATTCTCCGGACTGTTTTGTTGAAATGTGATATTTTGTTTTGAAATTGTTTTCATTTTTCTTCCAGGGTTCAACATTGTGGTAGAACACCCCCATTCTTACATTGTGAAAACATGCCATGTGGTCAAAGGTAGGTGGAAGAGCACAAAATCAGAATTACTTCACATTCTTAGTATATGAAAGCAAATAACTGATTTTGTTGCAAACAAATATTGACTGCATGTCCTGTATGTAAAGTTAATCAATGTAAAGTAGTCACTGTTAATTAATCTGAAAAAATTATCTGTTTGACTAAAAAGTCATGTCATCTCGATCTTAGTTATCATATCTATGAACTAATTTAAAGTCAATAAGTACAATTATTTATAGGTATAGTCTGACCAAATTATAAAGTTGAGAACTTGCACTTGCTATGGTTAATGACACTGTCGTCTGTGCGCTGTCACCATGTTCTTAATTAATTATCATTTGATTTGTGATGTAAGTCAAAAGTTGAAGCATGAGTCTTAAGTTGTCTCGTCTCGTCTACATTCTGTATTAGTGGAGACCAGGGGAATTCACCATAGCATGTGTTTTGTGTACAATGTACAATGTTATTTTTATTATATCAATTGCAAATGCAAAGTTTACATATTGTTCATAAAAGTTTAAAGTGACATCCCCACCATCCAGCTACCCAGCACTAATGCCTCTAGTTTCTGTTTTCTCTATGTCGCTGTCCTGGCCTACCAACACAATTGATTGACATGATCGTCGTGGCAACCAACCACAACAGCCTCCAAGGATCTCTCCCAGACATCATACTTCCTGGCAACCAACAGGTTGTTACCTTCTATCATCAGATAGTATGGAGACAAGATGGACTGCTGGCTAGACCCTCCCATAGGGCAAACAGCTGGCATCCATCTGTACCAGGATGTGGTCATGTATGTCTCGACATCAGACCCGTCAGTGTACACGTCTAAACATGAGAAGTTAATGATGTAATCTTAGCACCGACTATAGTGAAATTTTTCATGTTCATAATGCTTGTTTGTATTTAGCTTGTGATACGTACAGCATTTAAAATATTTGCCTTTGAAGAGATATATCCTTTTATAATGTAAATAAGAAATAGTCATAAACATCAATCCAAAGTTATTCATTTGATATTTTATTTGAACTATGAAGATGCAACTTCCACTGTTGATTCCATCTTATGATTTCCTGAGGTTCCATAAAGAATATATCACAGTTTTGCGTCTTCAAAGTTGCATTCAGAGCTAATCATATGAGCCCCAGTTTCTTTCAGCCTTTCCATTTCAGCATTGCCCCACATTTGATTATGTAGGAATATGATTATATTGTGTGTGTATGTCATGTTATAGCTTACATCTGACCACAATGTGCCTACAATATCCACCCACCCTTGTGGCCTGTCTCTGCATTCACCTTGCTTGTACCTGGTCTGACTGGAAGGTAAGCTTGTCTCAATTCAATTTTTATTTGTTTCATTTATCAACATACTTTACTACCACTATTTTATATGAATCCAGATCAAGCATGAGGGATATAGTTGCCAATGGCATTGTAATTTCATGGATTTGTCCAAATGAGCTATACTGTTGAAACAATTCTATCACCATGCATTTGTCTCAAGTAGATAATGCAAGCAGATTGAATCTGAAGTTTTTGTGGTCATTTCACACTCCTGGAAAATACAGTACAGGAAAATTGTGTATTTTTGTTTTCAGTTCTATGTTCTAAGATTCTTGAATGAATTTTATTCACAGGTTTTCTAGTAAAAGTCATTGACTCTTCTAGTTTGATATTTCCTATCCAAATGCAAAGAACAAGTTGGGGATATCACTATTATTGAGACAATTCTGTAAATCTTGTTTAGAATGTTAATGTTTCTCTCTTTTCTTTCCAGCTTGGGAAATCAGCAGATGGTAATGAATGGTATCACTTTGTGGACAAGACAGTGACAACTGAAAAACTAGATGGTGAGTTTAGTAAATTATAGTTTTTGTTCAATTAACATTTTCTTTACTTATTCTTGATTCAAGCTTTTCACTGTGAAGTCAATTGGATAAATATAAACTTCCTAGAATTTATATATATGTAAATTATTATTTGTGTTAAATCGTTGGTTATTCATAATTTAAGTCAATTTTCCAAAGGTTATAATCCGATAGTTCTGTCAATTAGATGATCTTGTTCTATCAATGTAATGTAATTATATTGACAATATAGACATTGACAAGCAGCATTTTATATTTAGATTTTGAACTCTCTTTCAGAGCTTACCCAGGAGTTTTTAGCCATAATAGAAAAATGTCCCAGCAAGCTACGAAAGAAAATTCTTACCTGGAAGGTAATTGAATAATAATTATCTATGTTTGAATCCTCAGTTTCACAATTATTGCCCAGTGTCCACAGTTCTCTTAAATGGTAAAAATATTAGCACTTTTATTTACCACTAAGGTTCACATGGATGAGATGCGCGAGGCATTTACCTCCGAGATTTTCCGACATTTTTATGTGAGTAAATTAAACTTTAAAGGGTAAGTCAGGGAATGGGTCAGAATATCAAATATTGAAAATTGTCTGAAAAACCAACTCAATCACATATATTATTAAACTTTAATATCCTTCTGAAATTAATGGAGAGCATTGGCATTAGACAATGCATGTCAATAAGCTAAAATTGAAAAAAATTGAAGTGCATATACCACAGAAATAATTCATTCAAAGCGTTAAAACACAGAAAAAAGTTTACTCTCTTTGTATAAATATTGAATGGTGTTTCTTCATAAGTGAATTGATGTTTATCCGATGTTATCAAGGGATATTAGTCACTCTTAAGTTGATGACCATTCTATTTTGACACTTAAATCGTGTAAGTGGAGTTTTATATATTTCAGTATTTCGTACATGTTGACATTTAAGAAAGGGACAAAAAATGCTTATTTCCTGACTTATCCTTTGAAATTGTTACACAGTTGTTTCATTACTGAGTTCTTCTGTTTCGTTATCTGATTTATCATTGCACTTTTATTTTGGGATCATGTTTATGTCTGGCCATATATCGAGACTAGTTCATAGTTCGATAAATATGTTTACGTAAGGCATGATCACAAAAACATTTTTCATGTATTCAATAATATCACCTTTTGAAGGGGACTAGAGTGACTCAATCTTTACCCAAGTCATCATGCCTTGCCCAGATAATTGTATGTTTACAAAATCACGTCTGCCTTGTATAGGTACAGTACTTGTGTTTTGTCATATGTCACGTCTCTTAATTAAACTGCCAAAAATTATTCACATTTTTTCTCCAGTCTTTCTCTGCTTATTTTGCAAAACTCTAGTTTAATCCATTCAGACTGAGATATGTCTGAAATTGATCAACATTTTCAGACATCTAGAATTTAAGTTAATTTCTCGGAATACATGTTATTACACTTCTTTGAAATATTTGAAAACTCCACTGTCATAATTAACAAAACTCAGTAATATATCTATTGAATGTGTACATTATGATTGTGTTTCAACAAAAACATACTTTTAACTATTTCAGAATCAGGCCCAGTCTCACTCTGCTTCAACAAGTGGACCAAGTCCTTCTCATAAACGAGTCAAACAGGAGGCTCCTTCTGTTACTGGGAGCTCCACTTCCCAGCATGGTAGCCAGGAAAGGAAGAACACTCCTTCGCCCAACCCCAGTAGCAAACACAGCTCACAGAGCAGCAAGCACGGCTCTCACAGTAGTCGCACCAGTGAGTCATCTGAATATTGTATTCCAAGTAATTTTTGCGTGCTACTATGTTTCATGCTTTTTGTGAAAATTTGCAAATATGATAGCCACAAAATTCCAATAGTTTTAGTTTGCGAAATATAGTAGTCGCGAAAATAGTTGGAGTACAGTATTTGTGTTTGCAGAATCTCTAATCAGCAGGCCAATAATTAGACTCCAGATGAAAATCTGGAGTCTATTGCTTTTGCCAGTTTTCTTTATTAGACTCCAGATTGAAAATCTGGAGTCTATTGCTTTTGCCAGTTTTCTTATTATTATTAGACTCCAGATTGAAAATCTGGAGTCTATTGCTTTTGCCAGTTTTCTTATTAGACTCCAGATGAAAATCTGGAGTCTATTGCTTTTGCCAGTTTTCTTATTATTATTATTCTTCCTCCTTCCCAGATTTCTCACCAACTAGAAGAGCTTACTTTAAGTTGCTTACATGATCAACTAGGGAATGTATCTGGGATGATGGGAAATTAGGTCAAATTTTTATCTAGGTCAAAGGTCAAGAACTAGGTCAAATCTTGCATTTTCAACATTCTATCAATTATCTTCGTCATTATTTATGGGAACAACTTTGTCTTTTTTTCATGATGTAGCTTAGAAACAGCTCTTTCATGGGTGTGCCAACAGATTTTTGATTACTCGTACCAATTTTGAGATATGGCGTCCTGAAAGTAGGTCAAAACCAAAGAGTTCTCCAAATTTAACATATGAGCTATGAAATAAGGGTAGAATTTTCTCAGGAATCCGAATCTGCAAACCAAATTTTGATCCGACTTCCTGTTCGGAAGTTATGGCGTTTTGAAAGCTCAAAAATCGCTAAATTTGGTGCCCATGTTAAGTCAATTGGAAAAAAGATTTTTTTGAAGTGAAAAATACGAAATATAGACTGAGTTCAGCTAAATATAATGAAAGCTTTTAAAAGAAGGGGACCTCATAAGCCATCTAGCTTCAAAATTTGGACACCAAAATGCCTAGGTCAAAATCTAGGGTAAATTCAAAGTTTTTCCTTATTTTTGCGATTCTGACACAACAGATTAATTATATTCTTCGAAATTTTGTATACATGTAGCTAAGAGTCTGCTAATAGTGTTAGCCTTTTGCCGTCAGAAAGTATTTTGCCCCATTTTTGAGATATGGTGTCCGAAAAGTAGGTCAAAATAAAAAAATCTCAAAATTTGACGTTTGAGTTATGAATTAAGTATAGAATTTTCTCAGGAATCCGAATCTGCAAACCAAATTTCGATCCGACTTCCGGTTTGGAAGTAATGGCGTGTCCGAAAAGTAGGTCAAAATAAAAAGTTTCCAAATTTAACGTATGAGCTATGAATTAAAGACAGAATTTTCTCTGGAATCCAAATCTGCAAACCAAATTTCGATCCGACTTTCGGTTCGGAAGTTATGGCGTTTTGAAAGCTCAAAAATCGCTAAATTTGGTGCCCCATGTTATGTCAATGGGAAAAAATATTTTTTTGAAGTGTAAAATACGAGATATAGACTAAGTACAGCTAAACATAATGGAAGCCCATAAAAGAAGGGGACCTCAAAACCTTCTAATTTTGAAAATTTGGACAACAAAATGCCTAGGTCAAAATCTAGGTCAAATTCAAAGCTTTTCCTTATTTTTGCGATTCTGACACTACACTTTAATTATATTCTTCGAAATTGTGTATACATGTAGCCAAGAGTGTGCTAATAGTGTTAGCCTTTTGCCGTCAAAAAGTATTTTGACCCACTTTTGAGATATGGTGTCCCAAAAGTAGGTCAAAATAAAAAATCTTCAAATGTAACGTATGAGTTATGAATAAGGGGTAGAATTTTATCAGGAATCCGAATCTGCAAATCAAATTTTGATTCGACCTCCTGTTCGGAAGTTATGGTGTTTTGAAAGCTCAGAAATCGCTAAATTTGCTGCCCCATGTTATGTTAATGGGAAAAAAGATTTTTTTGAAGTGTAAATTACGAGTTATAGACTGAGTATAGCTTAATATAATGAAAGCCTATTAAAGAAGGGGACCTCGAAGGCTACTTAGCTCCAAAATTTGGACACCAAAATGCCTAGGTCAAAATCTAGGTCAAATTTATAGTTTTCCCTTATTTTTGCGATTCTGACACTATATTTTAATGATTTGCTTTAAAATTTTGTATACAGGTAGCAAAGAGTATGCTAATAGTGTTAGCGTTTTGCCGTCAGAAAGTATTTTGACCCACTTTTGAGATATGGTGTCCGATAAGTAGGCCAAAGTTAAAAAATTTCCAAATTTAACGTATGAGTTATGAATTAAGGGTAGAATTTTCTCAGAAATCTAGATCTGCAAACCAAATTTCGATCCGACTACTTGTTTTGAAGTTATGGTGTTTTAAAATCTCAAAAATCGCTAAATTTTGTGCCCCATGTTAAATCAATGGGACCGAATAATTTTTTGAAGTATAAAAATACGAGATGTAGAATGAGTACAGCTAAACATAATGAAAGCCCATAGAAGAAGGGGACCTCAAAAGCTACTTTCCTTCAAAGTTTGGACACCAAAATACCTAGTTCAAAATCTAGGTCAAATTCATAGTTTTTTTTATTTTGCGATTCTGACACTACACTTCAATGATATTCTCCGAAATTTTGTAAACTTGTAGCAAAGAGTGTGCTAATAATGGTAACATTTTGCCGTCAATAAGTTTTTTGACCCACTTTTGAGATATGGTGTCCGAAATGTAGGTCAAAATAAAAAGTTTTCCAATTTTAAAGTATGAGTTATGAATTAGGGGTAGAATTTCCTCAGGAATCTGGATCTGAAATTAAAATTGCAATCCGACCCCCGGTTTAGATTCTACGCCATTTTGAAGTTTGAAATTCGCACTTGCCAGTATTCACGATGCAGATTGATCAAATATACTTTCAAAAATTCCTGCATACCCTACTTTACCTCTCTACCTACTCAGCTACTTATTTGACTACTTACTCAATTACTTAATTAGTTATTACTTCCTTAGCAACTTACTCAGCTACTAACTCAGGTACTTACTCAGCTACTTACTCAGCTACCTACTCAGCTTTTTACTCAGTTACTTACTCAGCTACTTACTCAACTACTACTAAGGTACTTACTCAGCTAATTACTCAGTTACTTACTCAGCTCTTTACTGATCTATCTAGGTAAAATAAATCTGGAGTCTTAAATTGAACTTGTTCAATTTCACAAATCTAGTTATTATTATTATTATTATTATTATTATTATTCTTCCTCCTTCCCAGATTTCTCACCAACTAGAAGAGCTTACTTTAAGCTGCTTACATGATCAACTAGGGAATGTATCTGGCTTTCTGGGAAATTAGGTCAAATTTTTATCTAGGTCAAAGGTCAAGAACTAGGTCAAATCCAGTACTTTGTCACTTTTTTCAATTTTCTCGGTCGTCCTTCAATATTTTCAATCCGGGTTTTTTTCATTGTGTTCCTCATAAAAAAGTAGGGGAAAACAGGTCGATTTAGTTTTTTGATATCTCAAACCGATTTCGAGATATCAGTGTCCGAAAACGAGGTCCAAAAAAAAGTTCTCCCAATTCAATGTCCACGCTACTGGTCTTGTAGGAAATTTTCTCAGGATTCCGAATCTGAAAACCAAATTTCGATCCGACTTCCGGTTCGGAAGTTATATCGTTTTGAAAGCTCAAAAATCGCTAAATTTGGTGCCCATGTTAAGTCAATGGGAAAAAAGATTTTTTTGAAGTGAAAAATACGAAATATAGACTGAGTTCAGCTAAATATAATGGAAGCTTTTAAAAGAAGGGGACCTCAAAAGCCATCTAGCTTAAAAATTTGGACACAAAAATGCCAAGGTCAAAATCTAGGTCAAATTCAAAGTTTTTCCTTATTTTTGCGATTCTGACACTACACTTTAATTATATTCTTCGAAATCGTGTATACATGTAGCCAAGAGTGTGCTAATAGTGTTAGCCTTTTGCCGTCAGGAAGTATTTTGACCCACTTTTGAGATATGGTGTCCCAAAAGTAGGTCAAAATAAAAAAATCTTCAAATTTAACTTATGAGTTATGAATCAGGGGTAGAATTTTGTCAGGAATCCGAATCTGCAAACCATATTTCGATCCGACTCCCGGTTCGGAAGTTATGGCGTGTCCAAAAAGTAGGTCAAAATAAAAAAATTCTAAATTTATCGTATGAGTTATGAATTAGGGGTAGAATTTTATCAGGAATCCGAATCTGCAAACCAAATTTCGATTCGACATCTTGTTCAGAAGTTATGATGTTTTGAAAGCTCAAAAATCGCTAAATTTGGTGCCCCATGTTAAATCAATGGGACCGAATAATTTTTTGAAGTGTAAAAATACAAGATATAGAATGAGTACAGCTAAACATAATGAAAGCCCATAAAAGAAGGGGACCTCAAAAGCTACTTTCCTTCAAAATTTGGACACCAAAATACCTAGTTCAAAATCTAGGTCAAATTCTTAGTTTTTTCTTATTTTTGCAATTCGGACACTACACTTCAATGATATTCTTCGAAATTTTGTATACATGTAGCAAAGAGTGTGCTTATAATGTTAACTTTTTGCCGTCAAGAAGTTTTTAGGCCCACTTTTGAGATCTGGTGATCGAAATGTAGGTCAAAATAAAAAGTTCTCCAAATTTAACGTATGAGTTATGAATTAGGGGCATAATTTCCTAAGGAATCCGGATCTGAAATTAAAATTGCAATCCTACCCCCAGTTAAGCCATTTTGAAGTTTGAAATTCGCACTTGCCAGTATTCACGATGCAGATTGATCAAATAAACTTTCAAAAATTCCTACATACCCTACTTTACCTCCCTACCTACTCAGCTACTTATTTGACTACTTACTCAATTGCTTAATTAGTTATTACTTACTTAGCTACTCACTCAGCTACTAACTCAGGTACTTACTCAGCTACTTACTCAGCTACCTACTCAGCTTTTTACCCAGTTACTTACTCAGCTACT